GGGATTAAAGGCATGCGCCACCACGCTCGTCTTATTTTATTTTTAATTATGTTTGAATGTGGGGGGGGGAGTGGTGGTATGTAAATGCAGGTGCCCACAAAGACCAGAAGAGGGTGCCTATCTTCTGGAACTGGAGTTACGGGACTGTGAGCTATGTGAGTGGGTGCTGGGAAATGAACTCAGATATTCTGCAAAAGCAGTAAGTTGAACCATCTCTCCAGCCCCGGCCTTCAAAATTCTTTTTTTTTTTTGGTCTTTTTGAGACATGGTCTCTCTGTAGCCCCAGCTGGCCTGGAACTCATTATGTAGACCAGGCTAGTCTTGAGCTCACAGAGATCCCCCTGCCTCTGCCTCCTGAGTGCTAGGATTAAAGGTGTGTGCCACCACACCTGGCTGGCTTCTGCTATTTTTAAAATGGAAATAATACCATTGACTTTTTGATATGTGCTGGTTCCAAACAATATGGGGAAAAAAATAGAAAGTTATAGAGTTTTTGTTTAACCAAATGTTCATGCTTTAATAGTCTGTTTTATATAGGTTATCCTGTATACACTGTTAAGCCAAGAGAGAAGAGCAGATCCAGAGGCTGGCTTGCTCCTCTACCTCAAGACTGGGCAGATGTACCCAGTGTCTGCGAAACACCTTGATAAAAGAGGTTGGATGCTTTGCTCATTTTGTTTTTACTTCTCTGGCCCCATCCCTCCTTTCAACTTTAGTGATACTTTTAAACTACTTGCCAGACGGTACTACAGGTTGAAATTTGTAGTTGTATTTTTAAAAATTGTTTACTTTTTGTGAGAGGGTGCATTTAAAATAATTTTAAGCTGGGTATGGTGGCACACTCCTGGGACTACAGGGGCACCCTGTCTCAAAAAGACCAAAGAAAATCAAAAACCAAAATTTTAACAGTATACTCAATAGTTGAAAACATCAGTAACTTTAAAAAATTTATTATACAAAACTTTAAACTTCCTCTCTAGATCGTTCTATTTATCCTGAGCATTCTGCTAATAACATGAACCTTACAATACTTAACCACCTATGAGAGAAGTAATTGTTTCAAAGACTTATCAAGTGTATAAAACCTGAAAGGAAGTGTGCCAGCACATTATGCAGTGACTGCTCTGTATAGTAGTAATAGCAATATTGTTCTCTACTTGTTTTCAAATCTGAAACTTTTACTGATAATAGAAAAGATAGATGATGAACTTTAACTCTTTAAAGACACAGCTTTATGTGTTCTTGCCCAGAGTTATTGAAGCTCAGGAACCAGATGGCATTCTCTTTGTTGCACCGTGTGAACAGATCTGCTGCTGGAAAGGAGAGGACACAGCTCGCTTCTTTGCCACAAATAATCGAGGAAGAGAAAACTTGTAAATATTGTTCCCAAACAGGCAACTGTGCTCTATATAGCAGGTAAACACTAGATGTATGTTTTAAATTATTATTTTATTTTATGTGTATAAGTGTTTTGCATACATATGTGTAAGTGCACTGCTTTTGTGCAATGTCTGAGGAGGTCAAAAGAGGGCATTGGATCCCCTGGAACTGGAGTTAAGGACTGTTGAGCCATCATGTGGGTGCTGGGAACTGAACCCAGGTTCTCTGCAAAAGCAGCCAGTGCTCTTAACTGCTGAGCCCTGTGTATATGTGTGTGTCTGTGTATATTTTAAGATAGGGTCTCATGTACCCCAGACAGACCTCACATTGTGTAGCTGAAGATGCCCTTGAACTTTGGATCTTGCCTCCACCTCTCAAGCACTGAGATTATACACATGCACTATGGTAACTAATAGCATAAGCATTTTATTGTTTTTGAGATAGGAGCTTACTGTGCACCTCTGGCTGGCCTGCAACTCATTATAGTCCAGGCTGGCCTCAGAGTCATAGAGGTCCACCTGCCTGTGAGACTGAGGCCAGCCTGGTCTATATAGTAAGTTCCAGGCCACCTGCAGCTACAGGAGACCCATTCTTTTTTTTTTTTTCTTTTTTTGGTCTTTTTGAGACAGGGTCTCCCTGTAGCCCCCACTGTCCTGGAACTCACTATGTGGATCAGGCTGGCCTTGAACTCACAGAGATCCGCCTGCCTCTACCTCCCAAGGGCTGGGATTAAAGGCATGTGCCACTGTGCCACCATGCCCAGCCTGGATTCTTAAACTTTTACTCAAGGTTATCAATGCCCATCCAGTAATTTATCGGCCACAGTGTTTTCTTTCGTAGAGCTAAAAGCATGGTGAGCTTTTAGCTTTTAGCTCAGGAGTAAACCTTTAACCTGGCCTAATCTCTTAGCCAGGGATAGCTGAGTTATTTGTTCAGGACAAGGAGATGAGCTAAGGGTTGTTGACCAAGACGCTTTCCCACAGAGCAGGGAGCCTGCACTTTTACCACCAGGCCGCTTCCTCCTGCCAGTCTAGCAGTGTCTGCAAGACAGGGATTATCAGAGCCACTGTTTTCAGTGCCCCTCCCTTTATCAGAGAATGCAGCCTGGACTTAAAAGTTTTAGGCTCACCTCACCAGGCCTGGCATCCTGGTTTCCTACACATGGCCTATAGCATGTTGCAGAAACCTGTAAATTTGAGATTGCTGTTAGGAGTTACTACGGTTATCATGTGTGTGCTCAGTTTAGGAAAACTTCATTTCATAACCTGCCAGTGAAATGTTGTGTACGCAGCACTAACTTGGAACTTTTTATTTAGAGCAGTTGAACAACAGGTGGAAGAAACTTCTGTTCCGGAGCTCATGCTGTCCAAAATCAAGAAGGAAACCCAACATCTGAGGCTAACCCATTTCAAGTATTTCAGCCTTTGGTGCCTCATGCTGACTTTGGAGTCAGAATCAAAAGATAACAGAAAGAGTCAGCAAAATATCTGGTTAATGCCAGCTTCTGAAATGTAAGTGGTCCATTGAATGCACAACAGCATTAACAATTGGATTTAGTTAGCATTGTATCATCACATGTGACACAAATAAGTATTAAAAACAAAAAAGAGCCAGGCGTGGTGGCGCATGCCTGTAGTCCCAGCACTTGGGAGGCATAGGCAGGCGGATCTCTCTGAGGTCAAGGCCAGCCTGGTCTACATAATGAGTTCCAGGACAGCTGGGGCTACAGGGAGACCCTGTCTCAAAAAGACAAAAAAACAAAAAACAAAAGTAGAAGCCAGGAATGGTGGTGCACACCTTTAGGACCACGTGCTTGGACTAAAGACAGAGGCAGGTGGATATCTGTAAAATGGAGGCCAGCCTGGTCTACATAATTCCATGCCATTTGTGGCCACAGGGAAACCTTGTCTTAACAACAAAAAAACAACAGAAGGAATGTTGGAGTGTTTACTTCACATGTTAACCCTTTGTTGTGGATCAAGGCAAATGTAAAAAAGGACAGACTTAATAGTAGCATTAATTCCAGGGACCATGGGCTGGCCGCGTGGCTCAGCTGGTAAATGTTTACTGCCAAGCCCGAAGTCCTGAGTTTGATCTCTGGGATTTAACAGTATGGACAAAGAGGACTGACTTTTGCAAGTTGTTCTCTGACCTCCACATTACCATGGTTCATATGTTCACCTTCACACATACCATATGTAAATAGTAATAAGTAAAACTTTAAGAAAATACCTCCTAGAGGCCAGATAAACAAAGAAGTTATAGAAAAAAGCCAAACATCATTTATAGGTTGTCAATGGAAACTTTCCTCTTTTTCCTTCATAGGGAGGAGAGTGGGAACTGCATTGGCAATCTGGTCAGGACAGAGCCTGTGAAGAGAGTTTGTGATGGACAGTATTTATATAACTTCCAGCGTAAAAATGGTGCCATCCCTGTCACTAATCTGATGGCAGGTGACAGGATTATTTTAAGTGGAGAAGAGAGAACACTCTTTGCTCTATCTAAAGGATATGTGAAGAAGATTACCATGACAACAGTAACCTGCTTATTAGACAGGTAATCCAATGCTGTTTTGGGCAGTAGTTTTGTTGAACTATGAACTATTGTCAGCCATGCATATACACTGTGCAATTACATGGGTTTTGTGTGTGTGTGTGTGTGTGTGTGTGTGTGTGTGTGAGAGAGAGAGAGAGAGAGAGAGAGAGAGAGAGAGAGAGAGATATGTCTCTGCGTATGTAAGTGCACCTATGTCATGCAGTGCCTGCAGAGATCAGAAGAGGGCATCGGATTCCCCTGGTACTGGAGTTGCAGAAGGGTGTTAACTGCCATATGGGAGCTGGGAATTGAACCTGGGTTGTCTTCAAGAGCTGCCAGTGCTCTTAACTGTTGAGCCACCTCTCCAGCCTCAGTTGCATTGTTTTTAAAAATCAGAGTTGTAGAGAGGGTTGGGGTGATGTCTCAGTGGTAGAATGCCTGCCATGAAAGAGGCCCTAGGTTCAAGCTCCAGTGTCACAAAAATATATAGTCAAATTAAATGATTTATTTATTTTTGAGATAGGCTCTTGCTATGTAATCCAGACAAGCCTGGAATTTGCTATAAGCCATAGTGTCCCAGAATGGTCTCTGTCCTTCTGCCTTTGCCTCCAAAGTGCTGTGAGCATTCCATATAGATTGAATTATATGTCTCCTTTGATAACTAGTTTTTGTCACAAAGTGTGTTAGTGGGTTGTTTTTCTTTTTTTCTTTTTCTTTTTTTTTTTTTTTTTGAGATAGGGTCTCCCTGTTTTGCTATGGGGAACTCACTATGTAGACCAGGCTGGTCTCTTTCTCACAGAGATCCACCTGCCTCTGCCTATGCCTCTGGAGTGCTGGGACTAAAGGCATGTTCCACCATTTCTTTGGACTTCCTCCCTTCCTTCCTTCCTTCCTTCTTTCCTTCCTTCCTTCCTTCCTTTTCTTCCTTCCTTCCCTCCCTCCCTCCTTCTTTCCTTCCTTCCTTCCTCCTTCCTTCCGTCCTCCTTCCTCCTTCCTTCCTTCCTCCTTCCTTCCTCCTTCCTCCTTCCCTCCCTCTCTCCCTCCCCCCCTCCCTCCCTTCTTTCTTCTTTCTTTCTGGGTTTCATGTATCCATGACAGGCCAACAACTTGCTGTGTAGCCAAGAATGACCTTGAACTCTTTAAAACACATATTTATCAGCACTCGGGAGGCAGAGGCAGGCAAATGTCTGAGACTGAGGCCAGCCTGGTCTACATAGTGAGTTCCCTGTGGCTACAGGGAGACCCTGTTTCAAAAGACAAAAAAAAAAAAATTACTTATTTGTATCATCTGTATGAGTGATTTGCATGCATATATGTAAGTGTATCGTGTGTGCAATGTTGGCAGAGGCCAGAAGAGGGTATCAGGTTCCCTGGAATTGGAGTTACAGATGGTTGTGAGCCACCATGTGGGTGCTGGGAACTGAACTTGGGTGCTCTACAAGAGCAGCCAGTGCTCTTAACTACTGAGCCATCTCTGCAGCCCTGACCCTGAATTCTTGATCTTCCTTATGGGTACTGAGATTCTAGGTAAGTACCACCATACCCAGCTTAGCATATTTTGTTTTTTAAAGTTTTTTAAATTTTTTATTTTATGTGTATACATGTTTTGCCTGCATGTAGGTCAGTGTGCCTGTGTCATGCAGTGCCCTCAGAGTTCAGAAGAGGCTGTCAGATCCCCTGGGACTGGAGTTACAAGACAGTTGTTAGCTGCCATGTGGGTCCTGGGATTTGAACCCAGGCCTTCTGTAAGAATAACCAGTGTTCTTAACCACTGAGCCATCCCTCCAGCCCCCAGCTTAGCATATTTTTAAAAAGTTAACTATTTATGTTCTGGAGTGATGACTCAGCAGTTAAGAGTACTGGCTGCTCTTACAGGAGACCTGCCTCAGGTTCAATTCTTACCACTCATGTGGTGGCTAACAACTGTACCTAACTCCAGTTCCAGGATTTCTGACACCTTCTGGCCTCCATGGGTATTGCGCCCACATGGTGTATTTACAGGCATGCAGGCAAAATGAGGCTAGCCTCGTCTACATAGTGAGTTTCAAGCCAGCTGGGGCTACAGGAAGACTGTGTTTCAAAAAGACAAAAAAAACTGCAGAGTGTGGTGGCACTGGCTTGTAATCCCAGCACTGGGGAGGTAGAAAAAGGATCCATGGGGCTCTCTGGCCAGCCAACCTAGCCTAAAAACTGTGAGCCCCGAGGCCGAGTGAGAGACCCTCTACCACAATCTAACCTGTACAGCTTCTGGGGAACTTGAGGTCGACCTCTCATTTCCACAGGAACATGTATGCACACTCACACATGGGAATGCATATATAAATAAATTTGATCATTAACCAAGCATACATAATTCAGTGGCATTGGATATTCACAATGTTATAGATGTTTTCACCACTAAAAGTAAATTGCAAACTTACTGGGCAGTCACTTTTTGGTCTTTCTTCCCTGCAGCTCCTGGCAAACACTATTCTGCTTTCTGTATGAACTTACCCATTAGGATACCAGCTTTCTGCATGACCAGCCTTTCTTGAAGCTCTCCCTTGATAGTTCTGTCTCTGTTGCTTAAGCTTGAAGTCAGGGCCTTGTCCATACCCTAGGTACTCTATCACTGAGCTATCCCAGCTCGCCTCACTAGCTGTTCACGCTTGAAATCAGGAGTTAAGACACGGTGACAGGAGCTGGCAGTATGGCTTCAGGGATAAAAGTACATGCCGTACAAGTCTTGCAACCTGGGTTTGATTCCTAGAACCCACATAAAGGGAGAAAGCTGACCACAGAATTGTCCTCAGACATTCTCTCTCTCTCTCTCTCTCTCTCTCTCTCTCTCTCTCTCTCCATGCACACATAGCATCTGCATGCACATAGGTAATAATAAAATGAAAGGCATAGTGAGATCTGTATAGCTGAAAAGGACATACCCAGGCTTGTTCCCTACCAGGCTGTACTAGTTGAAGTACTAACCTTACCTGAGTCTCAGGATGATGGGAGTATGAACCACGGTTTTCCTAGAATTGCTTAGTATTCTCTTCAAACCTTTACAATGTAGTTTGTTTTTTGGTTCTGAGGATCGAACCTGATGTTTTACATGGGCTCCACCCCTGACTGTGTGTATGTGTGCACACTTACTATTTATTAGGTGCTTTGCAAATCTTTGACCATTTTAGCTGGTCCTGGTGGCACATGCTGTAATCCCCTCACTAGGGACTCAGAAGCAGGTGGATCTCTGAGAGTGAGGCTAGCCTGGTCTCTAGAGTGACTTCCAAGTCAGAAGGGCTACGAAGTGAGACTCTGTCTCAAAAACAAAAGCAAAAGCAGACTGGGCATAGTGGCGCATGCTTTTCATCCCAGTACTTGGGAGGCAGAGGCAGGCCAATCTCTGTGAGTTCAAGGCCAGGCTGGTCTATATAGCCAGTTCCAGGCCAGCTGTGGCTACAGGGAGACTGTCTCAAAAAGACTGAAAAACGCAACAAAAAAACCCCACCCAAGCAAAAGCGAAAAGCAAAAATGTTTGAGTTCATGGGAACACAGAAAAGGCAGTTAATCCAGTGTTAGGACAGTGGGGAAATTTTTTTTCCTCTCTCCTCAAAGATTCCCACTTCTCTTGGGGTCTGTGGCTTTTGCCTTTAATCCCAGCACTTATGAGGCAGAGGCAGGCCAGTCAAGGCTGCATAGTGAGACCCTATCTCAGAAAAAACAAAAAGAATTCCCACTCCACCAAAAGCTCTCTCTCTTCTTTTTTTTTGGAGACAGGGTCTCCCTGTAACAGCTGCAGTCTCTTAGCCGAGGAAGGGTAACCTTGAACTTGTGATCCTCCTTCCTTCATTTCCAGTTACGGGAACGCACTACCATGCCCACTTCCTACAGTGCTGTGAGTGAACCCAGAGCTAGGCAAGCACTCTACCTTCCATTCCATCTCTCTCTCTCTGTGTGTGTGTGTGTGTGTGTGTGTGTGTGTGCTAGACTGTCTCATATATTCTAGGCTGACTGGGAAAATGCTCTGTAACTGAAAATGACCTTGAACTTTAAAAAAATATATTTATTTATGAGTGTGTTTGCTCATGTGAGTTTAAGTGCACCATGTGCAGGCAAGAGCCCATAGAGACCAGAAGAAGGCATTGGATCCCCTGGAACTGTAGTTAAAAATGATTATGAGGGGCTGGAGAGATGGCTTCACAAAAGTGAAGTAAAAATAATTTTTAAAAAGTGGTTGTGCCGGGTTTGGTGGTACACACCTGTAGTTGTAGCGCTCAGGAGACAGGCAGGTGGATCTCTGTGAGTTCAAGGCTAGCCTGGTCTGCATAGAGAATTCCAGGCCAGCAGGAGCTATAGAGAGACCTGTCTCAAAAAGAACAAAAAAAAAAAGTTTGTGTTTCCTAGCACCCCATATGGGTGCTAGGAAAGAAACCCAGGTCCCCTACAAGAGGGCTAAGCTATCCCTCCCACCCCAGACCTTGAATTTTTGCTTCTCCCCATCCCTAGTGTCAAGATCACAGGTGTGCACCACTGTACCCAACCCATTTACTCTTCACAGTTCCTGTTTTATACAGACCATGTGAAATGAAGAACGTTCATATGTATTGTTTTCTTCTAGGAACCTATCAACACTTCCAGAAACAACTTTGTTTAGATTAGACCGGGAAGAAAAAGGTTGTGATGTAGATACCCCATTAGGAAATCTCTCTAAATTGATGGAAAACACCTATACCAGGTTGGTAATATGAATGAATCTGAACATCTCTTCACTTTTCTAAGGAATGCTAGTAAAAGTACTTTTTTTTCCTTTTCAGCAAAAGACTTCGAGAATTAATCATTGACTTCCAGGAACCTCAGTTTATATCCTACCTCAGCTCCGTTCTTCCACACGATGCAAAGGATACAGTGGCCAGCATTCTAAAAGGCATGCAGTAACAAACATTTTAATTGGTTTTCCTTGGATCTCTGTATAATTTAAACTATGCCTGTTGTCTAATCTTGTTAGTAATTTATTAGATTTGCAGTTATGATAGATAGGGACAGCGAAATGACTTAGTGGGAAGACACTTGCCATGCAAGCCTGATGACCTGAGTTCCAGGGGGAGCCCATGTGAAAAACAGAGATGCAGTTGTCCCTGTATCCTGTGGTGGGATGGGAGGTGGAGACAGGAAACTCTCACCAGGGCTGGTGTGCCAGTAACTTAGCCTTGAGTACACCATTTGTAGAAACAAGAGAGACCTTGCATCAAAAGGAGAAAACCAACTCCTGGAAGTTATTTCCTGACCTCCACACACATGTGGCATGTTACCACACACACGTATGTATGCACACAATAATAATACAATTTTTTAATGTAGATAAACATTCTTTGGAATTGATTTGTGTGGTATCACCACAGCTGGGCATGGTGGTCAGGCCTTTAATCCCAGCACTTCGGAGGTGGAGACAGGTGAATCTCTGTGAGATTGAAGCTAGTCTGGTCTACACAGTGACCCTGTCTCAGAACAACAGGAATTTGTTCATTGAAATTAATTTTTTTTTTCTGTTTTTGCTTGTTTTGTTACATTTATATGTAGGTTTAAATAAGCCCCAGAGACAAGCAATGAAGAAAGTTCTCCTCTCCAAAGACTACACGCTCATTGTGGGGATGCCTGGGACGGGGAAGACGACCACCATATGCACTCTTGTAAGCTTACTCTTATTTTGCTTAGAAACCAGATATTTAACATTCTTTTCTTAGTGCCTAAGTACGGGATGTTTGATATCAAAAGTGCTCGATCTTTACTAGGCACGGTGGCACACGCCTATAACAAGGAAACTTTGGGGGTATTGGCCAGAGGATTACTGTAAGATTAAATATAATTAATAGAATAATTAAAATGACTCGGGCAGGCAAGATGGCTTAGCAGATAAAGGCACTTGCTGCTGAGCCTGACAACCTAAGTTTGAGCCTCAGGACCCACATGGCCAAGGGAGAGAAGCAGTTCCTGCAGATTAGACATTTTGGTTTTATAATTCTTTTAGAAAAGTTGATTGACTCATTATTAGGTAGGGGTTCCATTAATCTTTCTGTGTGACAACTAGATGACTGTTAACAGTTACCTGGGCTTAATAGAAATGCTGTTTTCCTTTCTCACCCATTTCTAGGTAAGAATCCTCTATGCCTGTGGGTTCAGTGTTCTGTTGACCAGCTATACACACTCTGCTGTTGACAATATTCTCTTGAAGTTAGCCAAGTTTAAAATAGGATTTTTGCGTTTGGGTCAGTCTCAAAAGGTCCATCCAGATATCCAGAGATTTACAGAGGAAGAAATTTGCAGATCAAGGTCCATTAAGTCCTTGACTCTTCTAGAAGAACTGTACAATAGTCAAGTAAGTTTAATTATATTTTTTGTGCGTGCACATTTTTTTTAAGACAGGTCTCACTATGTAATGTTCGCTGACGTGGATGACCTCAGACTGAGATCTGCTTGCCTCTGCCTCACAAATGCTGAGATTAATGTTGTGCACCACCACACCCAACACCGTTCTCTTTTTTGATTCAAGATTTCTCTCTGGCCTAGAGCTTGCCAAGTAGGCTAGGCCAAGTAGGCAAGCCCTAGGGATCTACCTGTCTCCACTTCCCTGGAGCTGGGATGACAGGTGTGTGCAATCTCCTGGGTTCCCTCATTAGAATCACAAAGAAAAAATAATTCTATATGCTGCAGGACCAGTCTATTCATTTTAGACTCTGTGATGCAACATTGTTGTCTATGAAGTTCAAGTTCAAGAACTGTGCACTTGAGAGTCCAGAACAAAAATGACCCATGTTCTAAGTTGGTTTGCAGTTGTGTGTGGGGCTGCTCGTAGCTCTTCTGTCTGTGACCTGTGAACTGTGGGCTGAGGGTTACACACAGGTGCCTTAGTTTTCCCCGGAAATAAATGAACCTTGTGTCATTACTGAGGGTTCCCTCCTACTTCCAAATTTCCTAGAAAGCTAGTGATGAGGACGTTTCCCCCCCCCCTTTGGTCTTTTTGACACAGGGTCTCCCTGTAGCACCAGCTATCCTGGATTCACTATGGAGACCAGGCTGGCCTCGAATTCACAGAGATCCGCCTACCTCTGCCTCCCTAGTGCTGGGATTAAAGGCGTGCGCCACCACGCCCGGCTAAGATGATGAGGATTTTTTTAAATAAGTTTGAAATGGTACTTAACAGTTTGATGATAAGTATTGGTAGACTTTGATATAGAAACTCATTATTATATATTGGTGGGGTTTTTAACCTGTAGCCCAGGTACATATATAGTTGTAAAGAAAAATACATACATCCATAGATCCTGTTCATTTGGCCTTTTTGTGTGTGAGAGGGGGTTGCATGTGGGTACATGTGTGCTATGGCATTATGTGGAGTTGGAGGACAGCTTGTAAAAGTCAGGTCTCACCTTTCACCACGTGGGTCCTGGGGACTGAACTCTGTCCGGCTTGGTAGCAAGTCCTTCCACCCATGGAGCCTTCTTGCTGATCCCCCCCCCCAATCATATCTTGCAAGATTGTTGTGATGGCCAGGGTCTTTTCGTTGCTATGGTACCCTGTTGCCACCAGCATCTATGTCATCTATCCCTTTTATACATGTTGCACTTTCATATCCGTATCCCCTTCTCCCCTGCAGCATCCTTCCTAACCTGGACAATAGCCAGTTCATTCTGTACTTTGTGATTTCAGAATGTTACTCTTTAGGCTGTGGTGGTACATACCTGCAATCCCAGCACTTGGGAAGCTGAGGCAGGGTTGCCAGTAAGTTTGGACTACATAGTGAGACCCTGTCTCAAAAACCAAAGGCTAGGGGCTGGAGAGATGGCTCAGTGATTCTTCTAGAGAACCTGGGTTCAGGTAGCAGCACCCACCTGGTGGCTAACAGCTGTCTGTAATTCTAGTTCCAGGGAATGTGACTCTCTTCTGACCTCTCTGGGGATTGTACACATAGGTGTACTTACATACATGCAGGCAAAATACTTACACACACAAAAATAAAAAGGTAAATAAAAGCCAGGCATTGTGGTGCATGTTAATCCTAGCACCTGGGAGGCAGAGGCAGGTGGATCTCTGTGAGTTCAAGGCCAGCCTGTTCTACATAGTGCGTTCCAAGCCAGCTGGGGCTACAGGGAGACCCTGTCTCAAAAAGACCAAAAAAAAAGTAAAGAAAAATAAACTACCAAGGGCTAAGGATGTACTCTGTCTCCAACAAAAGCTATAAATGTTTCAGAATTAAATAATATTGGGGAGGGGCTTGAGAAATATGCTCAGTGGTTAGGAATGCATGCTTCTTCTTCTCCTCCTCCAGAGGATCTGAGTTTGGTTCCTCCCATCTACATTAGTTGACTCCCAACTGCCTAGAACTCTAGTTCCAGGGGATCTAATACCTCTGGCCTCTTTGGGCTCCTGCATTTACATGCACATACCACCCATAGACAAACACACATAATTAAAGGTATGGTGGCACAAACCTTTAATCCCAGCACTCTGGAGGCAGAAGCAGGTAGATCTCTCTGAGATCAAGGTTCACTTGCTCTATGTAAGGAGTTCCAGAACAGCCAGAGCTACACAGTGAGATCTTGTCTCAAAACATAAAGGTTTGGGAGTTGGAGAGATGGCTCAGCACTTAAGAGCACTGGTTGCTCTTGCAGAGGACGTAGGTTCAGTTCCCAGAACCCACTTGGTGGGTGACAACCATCTGTTACTACAGTTTTAGGAGACCCAACCCTCTCCTCTGGCCTCTGTGGGCATTGCACACATGAGTGCACTTATATGCATGCAGGCAAACCACTCATACACATAAATTTAAAATTAATCAAAACGCCTGTAGTCCCAGCACTTGGGAGGCAGAGGCAGGCGGATCTCTGTGAGTTCAAGGTCTGCCTGGTCTACATAGTGAGTTTCAGGCCAGCTGGGGCTGCAGGGGGACCCTGTCTCAAAAAGACCAAAAAAAAAAATAATAATAATAATCAAAAAAGATAGGACTGGACAGATGGCTTGGCAGTTAAGAGCACTGGCTGTTCTTGCAGAAGACCCAGATTTGAATCCTGACACTTACATGGTGGCTAACAACCATCCATAACTCCAATTCTAGGGGATCTGACGGCCTGTTCTGTCCTCCATGGACACTGCATGACACTGGTGCACCTACATACATACAGGCTTAACACTCATACTCATGAAATAAAAATAAATTTTAAAAAATTTAATCAAAAAAGAAGATCTTAAAAGAATAATATTGAGGGCCAGGTGTGGTGGCGCACGCCTGTAGTCCCAGCACTTGGGACGCAGAGGCAGGCAGATCTCTGTGAGTTCAAGGCCAGCCTGGTCTACATAGTGAGTTCCAGGACAGCTGGGGCTTACAGGGAGACCTTGCTTAAAAAAAACCAAAAAAAAAAAAAAAAAAAAAGAATAATATTGAAGAGTTCTTGGTGTTAAGTGGGAGTATATTTTTATAATTTAAAAAAAAGAGGAAAGGCTGGATATGGTGGTGCACTTCTTTAATCCCAGCACTCGGGAGGCAGAAGCAGGTGGATCTCCGTGAGTTCGAGGCCAGCCTGGTCTCCATGGTGAATCCAGGACAGCTGGGGCTACAGGAAGACCCTGTCTCAAAAGGACCAAAAAAAAGAAAAAAAATAAAGGAAAAAACTATATATGTGTGTGCGTGTGTGTGTGTATACGTATACATATATACACATATATTTTAGTCTTTTTGAGACCAGGTTTCTGTTAGCCACAGCTGGCCTAGAACTCTCTATGTAGACCAGACTGACCTCGAACTATCTGCCTGCCTCTGCTTCTAACTCCCAAGTGCTGGTATTAAAGGCGTGTGCCACCACACCTGGCATATATATATATATATATATATATATTTATTTATTTATTTATTTATTTTAAGACAAGATACCACTATGTAGCCCTGGCTGTCCTGGAACCCACAGAGACCTCCCTACTTTCTGTCACTGTGTGCTGAGATTAAAGGTGTGTGCCACCACGCCCAGTCCTTTGATTTTATTTTTTTATTTCTGTGTATATCTGTGTACCCACATGAGTATATGTGCATCATGAGATTGCAGAGGCCTATGCAGGCCAGAAGAGGACATCAGATTAGTTGAGAGCTGCCATGTAGGTGCTGGGACCCCAACCTGTGTCCTCTGCAAGAGCAGTAAAGTGCTGATCCATCTCTTCAGTCCCCAGACTACATTCTTTTACATACTAGATAACTTATTTGTTTTCTTTATTTGTTTTTAGCTTATAGTTGCAACAACCTGTATGGGAATAAACCATCCAATATTTTCCCGTAAAACCTTTGATTTTTGTGTTGTGGACGAAGCCTCTCAAATTAGTCAACCCGTTTGCCTGGGGCCCCTCTTTTTTTCTCGGAGATTTGTGTTGGTGGGGGATCATCAGCAGCTTCCTCCCCTGGTTGTAAACCGGGAAGCAAGGTAGGTAGACATTTCAGTTTTGTTTTAATAGAGGCAAAGTTTTGCTGTGTTGTTCAGGCTAGACTCAAAGGATCCTTCTGCATCTGGCTCCCACCTCAACTCTAAGAGTAGTAGGGGCTGGGGATGTAGCCCCGTTGGTAGAGTGATTCCCTAGGTGCCTGAAGCCTTGGGTTCCATCCTCAGCACTGCACAAACCAGCGAAGCAGTGCGTGCTTATAATCCCAGCACTGGGGAGACACAGGCAGGAGGATCAGGAGTTCAAGGTTATCCTCAGCTACTTAGCAAGTTTGAAGTTTGGGATACTGGACGCCTGTCGCAAAATAAAAAGGAAAAAGTTTGATCTCTAGATGGAGATCTTGGAAGGAGAGAACCTAGTACACACTGTTATCCTTTGACCTCTACTTGTGCAACATGGTACAGGTGCACACACACACAAACACACACTAATAATAAATAAACTGGATGCTTTTTAAGGTACAGTATTAGTGTACCGACAAGCCTGCATTTGATCTGTTGGCAGAGCTCTAGGCATGAACGAAAGCTTGTTCAAGAGGCTGGAGCAGAACAAGAACGCCGTCGTCCAATTAACGGTGCAGTACAGAATGAACAGGTGTGTGACTGCCTCACCTGGGGGCGGCTCTCGTGGTTATTTTCTTCTTCCAAAACTGAGATTATGCTTTGCAATTCTCTCAGTAAGATTATGTCCTTAAGTAATAAGCTGACCTACGAAGGAAAGCTGGAATGTGGGTCGGACAAAGTCGCCAGTGCAGTGATTAGCCTGCCCAACCTCAGAGATGTCAAACTGCAGTTTTACACTGATGATTCTGATAACCCTTGGATGGCTGGAGTATTTGAGCCGGACAACCCTGTTTGTTTTCTTAATACAGACAAGGTAAGAAAAATTGGGTTTTTTACTTTTCTTCTTTTTCATTTCAGGTTTTCTTCCTTTGTCCTAGTATTTAAGTTTCTCAATTTGCAATAGGATATACTTTTTAGAGCTTATTACTTAAAACCAGGTTTAATATATGCTTCTTACACCCCTACACAAAACCGTCTTGTGTTTCTGTGACTCCAGTATTTTTAGGAGGGGATTGATTGTAGGGATTGACAGTCATGAATTAACACTTTTCTTTTTTTTGACATAGAGTTTTGCTTTATAGCCCTGCCTATAACTCACTATGTTGCCCAGACTGGCCACAAACTTATCACAATCCTTCTACCTTAGTCTCTTGAGTGCAAGGCTGTTCCCCCTCCCCCAGCTAAGGATTAAACCCAGGGCTTCATAGCATGCTAGGCAGGCATTCTCCCCACTGAGTACACCCTCCATTCCAGAGTCGCTTTGTTGTTTGTTGTGGTTGTTGTTGTTTTTTGAGACTAGGTCTCTCTATATCCCCAGTTGGCCTGAAATCCACTAGGTAGGCCAGGCTTGCCTGTGTACTAACATACTGGGCTCAAAGTCACTTTTGAAGAGGGAAAGTCTGCCTGCCTGGAGGCACACACATGTAATCCCAGCTCTGGGGAGGGTATGGCAGGAGTCTCAAGGCCATCCTTAGCTATGTACTTTGAGGCCAGCCTGGGGTACATGAGACAAGGTTAAAAAAATACACATCTATTACATAAATATACACATATATACGTAAGGGTGTTGTAGGCATACATCACCTCTTGGAAACTTGTATCAAGTTTGGTGGAGCCTGGGAACCTTTTCTGCTGCATTTTTAAAATAAAATAACAAGAGCCGGGCATGGTGGCACATGCCTTTAATCCCAGCACTCAGGAGGCAGAGGCAGGTGGATCTCTGTGAGTTCCAGGACAGCTGGGGCTACAGGGAGACCCCGTCTCAAAAAGACCAAAAATAAATAAATAATAAATAAATAAATAAATAAATAAATAAAACAAGAAATACCAGTATGAAGAACACTGATGCTGGGGTGGGGTCTGAGTTTGAATCTAGAGGCAGCTGAGAATGAGGTCTTGGACAAGTTATTGTCTTTCCTGCCTTTGGTTCCTGTGATGTGAAGGCAACACAGTCAGGAGTGTGTGAGCCAGTGTGCAGTCTCCTAGTGATCCAGACTGAGCTGTAGTGTGCCTTTCCGAAAATAAACTCAGTTTTTGGTGAATTATTTCACCTTCTACTTTTTCCAATCCATCTCTAAGCCTAGTAGTAAAGTCTTTGTGGTTGGCTGGGTATGGTGGGTCACAACTTTAGTTACAGCACTCAGGAAGCAGAGGCAGGTGGAGTTCTGTGAGTTCAAGGCCAGCCAGGCCTATATATCGAGTTCCAGGCCAGCCAGGGCTGCATAGAGAGATGCTGTCTCAAATAAAATAATAAAATAAAATAAATAAAATAGTGTGTGGCTTCCGGTCTGTTGCAGTATTCTTAGACTTGGCAGGCTGTGTCATAGGCAACATGTTACATGTTTCTTTGCCTAGGTTCCGGCACCAGAACAAGTTGAAAAGGGTGGTGTGAGCAATGTAACAGAAGCCAGACTCATTGTTTTCCTGACCACGGTTTTCATTAAGGTAATTTAGACTTTTCAAGGCTAATCAAGCACAGGGTAATTAAATGCTGACTATTATAGTAAATATTGTTAGACTGTAAGAAACTTAAGACCTGGCAGAGGACTGGAATTTAGGTCCATGAATGAGGCAGCACAAAGTCGAGGGACTGGCACGATGGCTCAGTCAGGGTAAAAGCACCTGCTGGGCATGCTTGAGGACCAGAGTTCTGATCCTTAGCACCGACGTAAATGCCCTGCAGGTGTGATGACCTGCTTGTAATTTCAGTGCTGGGGAGGTGGAGGCTGGGGACACCTGTAGCAAGCTGGCTAGCCAGACCATCCAAATCAGTGAGTTCTGGGTTCCAGTGAGAGAGCCTAACTCAGTATATAAGGCGGAGAGTGATTGAGGAAGATACCTGACATCAACCTCTGGCACACACATGCAGATGCAGCCCCCACTCATGCACCCACACCATGCACACACACCATACATCCTTACACATGCAAAAGAAAAATTTGAACAGTAAGTTCAATAAAGCTTAGAAATTGGGTTTTCATTTACATCCTGTTTTCTGTCTAGGCTGGATGCCGGCCCTCTGATATTGGCATCATTGCACCATACAGGCAGCAGCTGAGGATCATCAGTGACTTATTGGCACACTCGTCTATTGGGATGGTTGAAGTTAATACAGTAGACAAATACCAAGGGAGAGACAAAAATCTCATCCTGGTATCATTTGTTCGCAGTAATAAGGATGGAACTGTAAGTGACTGATTGGCCAATGATTCTTTCAGGGTCCTCCCCTCCCTTTCCCCTTCCCCTCATTCTTCAAAGTGCAAGAGATGGAGACAAAGGAGGGAGTATTGCTCAGTAGGTATGGAGCTTGCCCCCAAATCTGACAACTTGAGTTTGATCCCAGGACCCACATGGTGGAAGGAGAGAATTGACTTCCAAAGTTATCCTCTGATCTCCCACATACATTCATACACACAGAGACGCATGCACGCACACACACACACGTAATAAATAAAAGGTGGCGATGGACCTAAGAAGAGATGGGGAAGGGGGTTTAAATATGATCAAAGTAGCTGGGCATGGTGGCGCATGCCTTTAATCCCAGCACTCGGGAGGCAGAGGCAGGTGGATCTCTAAGTTCAAGGACAGCCTGGTCTACATAGTGACTTCCAGGCCAGCTGGGGCTATAGGGAAACCCTGTCTCAAAAAGACCAATAAATAAATAAATAAATAAATAAATAAATAAATAAATAAATAAATCTTTTAAAAAATTTAATGTAGAGCCGGGTGTGGCAGCGCATGCCTTGTGCACCACCCCTGGCCATTTGAGGCATTTTTAACATAAAGCTTTGTATACTTCCAAGTTCCTAGATAGTTCTCGATTTTGTTTCATTGCTTGGTGTATGTTTTTCCACTCTCTGATAACTTTTTTAGAACTATGTAATGCATTCATGTGGTTTTAAAAATGTGCCAGTGGGGCTAGAGAGACAGCTCAGTGGTTAAGAACACTGGTTGTTCTTGCAGAAGACCGGGGTTTGAATCCCCACACCCACATGGCAGCTAACAACTGTCCTTAACTCCAGTTTGAGGGGATCCGATGCCCTCTTCTGACCTCCACAGGCATTGCATGACTTGGGTGCACTTACACACATGCAGGCAATACATACATACACATAAAAAAATAAAAATAGGGCCTGGAGAGATGGTTCAGCATTAAGAGCACTGACTGCTCTTGCACAGGACCTGGGCTCAATTCCCAGCACCCACATGGCAACTATGAACTGTCCTTAACTCCAGTTCCAGGGGAATCTGAAGCCCTCTTCTGACCTCCGTGGCATTGCATGACATGGGTGCACTCACATACATATGGATAATACACTCATACACATAAAATAATAAATAAAATATTTTTAAAAGATAAAAATGTGCCAGTAGAAAACCCCTTTCCTACTCTGTCCCACATTATTCAGTTCTTACCTCATACATAATCACATTTTTAATATTTTTGCAAACTTCTATAGTATACATATACTGTTCTGACCCTTTTTTTCCACTTACTATGTTGAATTATGCCTGTAATCATAACACTCAGAGGCTGAGGCAGGAACATACTGAGTTAGAGGCCAGCCTGGGCTACCTTGGAAGACCCCGCTTCAGAAAAAACAACGAAACCACCCTGGCGGCACAGACTTGTAACCCTAGCATTTGGGAGGTGGAAGCAGGAGCATCAGGAGTTCAAAACTAAAAGAGAAAAGTACAAAACAGTTCAAAATAAACCACATTCTTTGTTGGAACAAATTCAAATATATAAGAAAAGTGAGATAATAACATAATTTTTCCAGCTTGGTGAACTCCTGAAAGATTGGCGACGTCTCAATGTCGCACTGACCAGAGCCAAGCACAAGCTGATCCTCCTGGGAGACGTGGCCTCTCTGAAGCGATACCCTCCTTTGGAGAAGCTTTTTCATCATCTGAACTCAGAAAAATTAATATCCTTTGGTTAAGTGTGTGGTTACGTTGATCTGCCTGCTGTGAGTGCTCTGTGCTGGTGGATAAACGAAGACAAGCGTCATATTTCCATAGGTGTGTTTCAAAGGTTCATTTCTACAAAGGAAGCCATTCAACTCAGGAGGGGTGTTCAGCCAGTGAACTGATGATGGTGGATAGGGAAAGTCTGTGGAGAAAGGGAGATAAAAGGGCCATGATCTGCCCAGAGCTAGTGCAAGCAGGAAGTTGCCCATCAGGTTCCCTTGCCCCACATTCATGACCTAGTTCTTTTTTTCTTTTTTCCTTTTTTTAAGACAGGGTCTCACTATGTAGACCTGGCTGGCTTAGAACTCACTAATACAGATAAGAGACCAGGCTGGCCTCAAACTCCCAGAGATCTGCCTACCTCTGCCTCCTGAGTGCTGGTGTTAAGGGCTTCGGCCACTACACTGGGCCTTATAACCTCGGTATTTTTTTGGTCTTTTTGAGATAGGATCTCTCTGTAACCCCAGCTGGCCTGGAACTTGCTATATAGACTAGGCTGACCTTGAACTCTCAGAGATCCACTTGCCTCTTTCTCCTGAATGCTGGGACTAAAGGCATGTGCCACCAAGCCTGGCATGACCTTGTTCTTAACCTAGGGCAAAGCATATATTTAAAAAGGGAAGTCACAGGCTGGAGAGATAGCTCAGCGGTTGACACTGGTTGTTCTTGCAGAAGACCTGGGTTAGAATCCCAGCACCCACATGTCAGTGAACAACTGTCCCTAACTCCAATCCCAGGGGATCTGACAGTCTCTTCTGTCCTCTGCAGGCATTGCATGACACGGGTGCACTTACCTACATGCAGGCAATACACACATACACATAAAATTAAAAAAAAAAAAATGGGATGGCACACGCCTTTAATCCCAGCACTTGGGAGGCAGAGGCAGGTGGATCTCTGTGAGTTCAAGGCCAGCCTGGTCTACATAGTGAGTTCCTAAGGGTTGAACTCAGGCCTCCCTGATATGCAAATGTTCTACCACTGGCCACTGAGCTATACTTCCAGCCTTCCCTAAGACAAGGCTGGTCCCGTGTCACAGCCTCCTGAGTGCTGGGATCGTAGGCATGCACCACACACCTGACTTTCCATTACTTTTCAAATGGATTGGTTTTTTTATTTTCCATTTGTTTGTTTTTTGGAGGTTTTTCTTATTTTGTTTTGAGACAGGGTCTCCCTGTAGCCCCAGTTGTCCTAGATCACACTATACAGACCAGGCTGGCCTGGCTCTCACAAAGATCCGCCTGCCTCTGCCTCCCCAGTGCTAGGATTAAAGGAGTGAGCCACAGCAACCAGCTTGGATATTTAGGCAGGGTTTCAAGTAGCCAAGGCTGGCCTGGATCCAGCAGAGCACTGCTTGTCCCTCAACTCTCAGCCACTACTCCCAGCAAACAGATTATTTTATCACCCCTCCCACCCCACCCCCTCGGCTCTCTTAATATATTAAGTCTCCTGTATCCTAGGCTAATACTGAACTATATAGTTGAGAATGACTTTGCACTCCTGATCCTCCTGCCTCTACCTCCCTGTGTTGAGATTATAGGTGTACACACCATGCATAGCTGACTTTCATTAAATGTATCTTCCTTAATTTATTTGACATCTTGGACCTTCCATCAAGAGACCATGAGAGTCTCTGTCACATTCTGGGTAATTTTCAAAGAGGATGAAACACTGTCTTCCTGCCTTTTCATGGAAGGACCTCGCTCCTGCCGGTGCCTGGTATTCCCAGTTACAGTTTGCTGCTAGATCTGTGCCTGGTTGAACTGTGAAGATGATTTGTATCTAAGAGATACACATGAAGTGAATGTACTCTTTCCAAAGTTCCAGGGTTTTTTTGTTTTCTAGCTTTTTAATCTTGTTAAATGTAAGATTCTGTCACCATACAAAATGTTATTTTTTTAAAGTACAAATGTATCCTGAACTGTGGAATTTCTGAATTTATAAGTACTTCAAATGTATTTTTATCTGACCAAGGAAAAAAGGTTGATAACATTTTTACCAGTTCTGAAGGTGGACTTTTGGATCTGTACCGTAACACCTCAGGTTCCCAATCAGATCCCACAGGTTGAGCTCTCAAAAAATAAAGTTTCTGAACTAATTTCATTTTTATAGAGTTAATCATAAAAGTTATATTTAAAAGCTTAGACGAAGCTGGATGGTTTGGGTCATTTAAATGCACTCTTGTGTGAAGGGGAAGTGAGTCTTTGGATTTGAAGGTTCCTGATTCAAAAGCTGTTGTGCTGGTTCTTTCCTGGCTGGCTCTCTAGTACCAGAGGACTGTCGCTTCAGCCCTTGCCTTTTACATTAGTTTGTGATTGTATGATGATGTTTCCAAGTCTTTGCTCCTCTCACTGTCCCCTAACCCTTACCATCAACCCTTTCATTATCCCCTTTGTAAATTTTCAGTACTCAGGATTTCAGGATTATAGAGTAGAGTGATAGAAAGCAAATTCCTTTGAGAAGAAATTTTGTTCTCCGAATTGACTAAAAGGCATATCTCTGCTTTCATTTCTTCATCTCAGTTTGCCTCTTTGGGAGCATTCTCCCTAGTTTTTTGTAAAGATATTTTGAAAAAGAAAAATACCACCAGATGATTGATTATATATGGTGACAGATTTTTATCTTAGGGTATCTGTCCTTTGGAAGGAAAAACTTCTATTGAGTTTTTAGTGGATGGTAATTATGTTAAAGCTGTTAGTGCTCCATTTATTAGTTAAAGTTAAATAAATTGGTTTTGTACTGAAATACTATATGGAATAGTAGTGTTTATCATTATTTTTTATTTGTTTTATTTTGAGGGGTTGTGACAGGGCCTCCCGGTTGGCCTGGAACTCACAGATATCTACCTGCTTCAACTTTCCTTGTTCTGGGATTAAAGCCACCAGACCTGACTTTTTTCTTCTCTTTTTTTTTTCTCTTTCTGAGATGGGATCTCAAGTATCCAGGCTAGAGCCTCAAACTCAATATACAGCTAAGGATGACCTTGAACTTCTGATCCCCCTGCCTCTACCTCTAGGATGCTGGGAATACAGACATGTTCCATCATGCCCTATTTATGCAGTACTGGGGGCTGAACCCAGGACTCTGTATGCTAGGCAAACCCTCCATCGACTGAGCTCCACCCTCAGCCCCTCAGCCTTGATTCAGCTCAGGGCTTCCCCCATTTTCCCCAGTGGTGAGAAATTGGTCACATGAAGCTGAAAGCAAGGAGTGATGATCCCCGGAGATTCTTGAAGGAGTTCACAGGATGGACTTCAGCAGGGATAGAGGGCAGACAGACATGAAGGAGCTGCTGTCCTTGTTTAAGTAGCGTTAGCCCTGGAGGAGGGTATAAAGCATGAAGGAATCGAAGATAATTTCAGCTCCTGGAATGGGACTGAACAGAGGCTTTGTCTGTCAGTGGTTGCTTCAGCACACTTATGTGGCCTGAGGAGAACACTTCTCTGAATAGCCTGGGGAGGAGTTCTGCTTCCTGTCACTTCTGGATCTCACTTGCTCACAAAATTCTAGCCATTTTGTTGTTGTTATTAGACAGGATCTTACTATGTAGCTCTGCTAGCCTGGACCAGGCTGGCCTCAAATCACAGAGATTTACCTGCCCCTACCTCCTAAGTACTGGGATTAAAGGTGTGTGTACAGCCAATTTTATAAAAAATATTATTTTTATTTTATGTATGAGTGTATTGCCTGCATGTATGTGAGTGCAGTCGTATCATGCAGTGTCGCAGAGGTCAGAAGAGGGCTTCAGATTCCCCTGGAAATGGAGTTAAGGACGGTTTGTAGCCACCATGTGGGATGTGGGAATTGAACCTGGGTCCTCTGCAAGAGCAGTCAGTGCTCTTAACCGATGAGCCATCTCTCCAGCCCTGTGTAGCCAATTTTTTAAAAAAGATTTGTTTTTATATTTATATATATGTGTATGTGAGGGCAACTGAGGAGGCCAGAAGAGGGCGGTAGATCCCTGGAACTGAAGTTAAAGGTGGGTGTGAACTGCAGCAAGCTCAGATAAATGTTTATAACAGGATCTTGCTATGTACCCTTACTGGCCTGGAACTTATGATCCTTCAGAATGATCCTGGTTGAACTGAAGACATGTGCCACCATGTCTAGCTCCAATAAATCTCAGATACATTGATAATTATTTAGGTATATGAGTATTTTGCCTGCCTGCATGTAAGGGCATTAAGTGCATGCAGTGCCCACAGAGGCCCAGAAGACCACTGGTGTCAGATCTCCTGGAACTGGAACTACAGGCAGTTATTAGCCGCCATGTGTGTGCTGGGAACTGAACTAAGGTCCTCTGCAAGAGCAGCCAGTACTCTTAACTGCTGAGCCATCTCTCCAGCTCCTTAGATGTATATATTGAGATTATGAAAATGCTGACTTCTTTTGTGCTAGTTCAAAGTCTGGTTCTGCGAATTTAGGCAATTATTAACCTTTGCAGTGTTGGTTTGTCTGTGAGACAGGGACAAAGCCTTCTCATGGGAGGATTTGAAAATCAACTGAGACTTTGGTCGAAACTGGCCTGCTCATGTGTCCTCAACAATGCCGGCAATCAATGTGAAAGGAATAACAGCTCACTGTCCATTTGAACTCAGGTCCTCATGCATGCAAACAGAACTATTGTCTCAGCCCCACAAGGAATATACTCTAGAGGTAGGCCTGGTGTTTCATGGGAGTATCCCAGCCCTGGGGAGGCTGAGGCAGGAGGACTGAGGAGATGTTTTAAATAGATAGTACATATCTACTTAAAATATATCTAGTATATGTGATTATCTTACAATAAAAAAGCTTACCCTCCACTAAAAACGAAAATTCAAGGCCAGCCTGGGCTATAAGAGATCGTTTCTCCAAAAAAAGGAAAGGAAAAAAAAAATTTTACTCTGGGCATGGTGGTGCATGTCTTTAATCACAGCATTTGTGAGGCAGAGGCAGGCAGAGCTCTGAAATCAAGGTCAGCCTGGTCTACATAGTGAATTCCAGGCCAGCTGGGACTACTAGGAGACCCTGTCAAAAAAAAAAGGGTTTAGACCAGAAGCATAGTAACAACTTCATACTTGCTCCAGTTTCATGGAATACTGAGTCTTTTTTTTTTTTTTTAGATCTTTTTGAGACAAGGTCTCCCTGTAGCCTCAGCTGTCCTGGAACTCACTATGTAGACCAGGGTGTCCTAGAACTCAGAGAGATCCGCCTGCCTCTGCCTCCCGAGTGCTGGGATTAAAGACGTGTGCCACCATGCCCGGCTTGAATACTGAGTCTTTTCTCACTCAGCTGTGGTCATTGGCTACAGATCATAGGTAATTTTTCTCTTCTTAAACAAATGTAAGCTAAAGATGTAGCTCAGTGGTAGCATGCTTGTGGATTTAATCCTTTACACTGGCAAAACAAACAAAAAGCAAACACAAAAAAAACCCAGAAAACTCCAAAGCATTTGACATTTTAAAACTTTCTTGCTGGGGATGGAGAGATGGCTCAGCAGTTCAGAGAGCACTAACTGCTCTTACAGAGGACCCGGGTTCAGTTCCCAGCACCCACATGATGGCTTACAGCTGTCTGTAAATCCAGTTCCAGGGGATCAGTCTCCCTCTTCTGACCTCGGGCATTGCACAACATGGGTGCATTTACACACATGCAGGCAATACTCATACAAATAAAATAAAAACAATAAAATATATTTTTAAAAAAATCCCATGGACAGGTACGGCAGCTCATGCCTTTAATCTCAGCACTTGGGAGGCAGAGGCAGGCGGATCTTTGGGAGTTCAAGGCCAGACTGGTGTATATAGTTCCAGGCCAGCTACAGGGAGACCCTGTCTCAAAAAAAATAAAAGGCTAGAGAGGTGGCTCAGTGGTTAAGAGCACTAGTTAGTGCTCTTCCTGGGTTCAGTTCCCAGCACCCACATGGTGGCTATGAGCTGTCCTTAACTCCAGTTCCAGGGGAATCCAGTGACACAGTGCACTCACATAGATGCAGGCAATACACTCATACACACTAAATAAAAAATACAGCTGGGTATGGTAGTGCACGCCTTTAATCCCAGTACTTGGGAGCCATAGGCAGGTGAATCTCTGTTCCAGGTCAGCTGGGGCTACAGAGAGACCCTGTCTCAAAAACACCAAAAAAAAAAAAAAAAAAAAAAAAATTTCTCATCCCAAAATAAGAAAATATTTTCTCTCCCACAGTATCAGTTATCTTGAGGGTGGTGGTGCATTCCTGTAATCTCAACCTCAGTAGGTGAGGTAAGAGGGTCAGAAGTTCAAGGTCATCCTCAGCTGCATAGGGAGTTCAGCTGGGGCCAGAGTCTCTAAAAACCAAATCAAAACAAAAGGCTCAGGGGATGGCTCAGTGGGTAAAAAAACCTTGTCTTGATGAGCAAGCCTCAGAACCTGAGTTTGATCCCCTGAACCCACATAAAGAGTCAGTTGTGGTGGTGTACACATCTGTAATCCCAGCACTTTTTATGGTAAGATGGGAGGCTGAGATAGGAGATTTGCTTAGAAGTTTGAGGGCCACCTAGCCTGGAGTGTGCTGTGCTACAGAAACAAAACAGACACTGCTCAAGAGCAAGGTGGAAACGTTGTCCTCAGACCTCCGCACAGATTCCACCCCCTCACCTCTTAGGAAAAAAAATACTTTCTTTCTCCATCTCTTACCCTTGATGGAGACTGTTGCACTTCACATTTAATAAACCAGTGTTTTGGTTGATTTAAACATGATTTGGGTCTGGTGCGATGGTGCACACCTTTAATCCCAGCACTTGGGAGGCAGAGGCAGGTGGATCTTTGTGAGATCAAGGCCAGCCTGGTCTACAAAGTAAGTTCCAGTCCAGCCGAGACTACAGGGAGACCCTGTCTCAAAAAGGAACAAAATAAAACATGATTTGGAGCTGTCTACCTACTTTCAGTGGGTTTGGCCTGCATGATTTAAGTGCATCCATGTCATGCAATGCCTGCCAGTGCCAGAAGAGGGCATCAGATCTCCTGGAATTGGATTTACGGACAGTTGTGAGGTGCAATGTGGGTGCTGGAAACCAAATCCCTGAATCAGGATCCTCTTGCTTTAGTCTCCAGGATGAGTCTGGGGTTACAGGTGTGGGACACCACACTCAGATAGCTCATTTCATGTTTTAGTGATTCTAGGTCAGAAGTGTGCTGGCTCACGCCTTTAATTCCAACACTTGGTTGGGAGGCAGAGGCAGGCGGATCTCTGTGAGTTTAAGGCCAGCCTGGTCTACATAGCGAGTTCTAGGCCAGTTGGGGATACAGGGAGACCCTGTCTCAAAAAGTCAAAAACAAAAACAAAAAAAAAAACAAAACCCAAACATTTGAGGACTCAGCTCAGTGAGTCCCCACTCACTCATTTCCATGCTGACTGGACCCCCCTGGCCTGGACAGCTCACCAAAATCTTACTCTTTGACTAACTTTGCATTTGCATTGACTTCCTACCTAAGCTCTTGCATGGACTCTGCCTTTCTGCTTACAGTTCTATAGTCTCTATAACTTTCCCTAACCAAGATGCCTGCCTGATTTCAGTGTTAATTGCATGTTAAACTATTAAGGGACCCTGCTCATATGATTCTGTGGCAATGTTGTCAGCATACAAAAGTCCCATGCAAACTCAGGCAGACAAAAACCCAGCATAGAACTGGGGAAATGAACAGCAGACCCCAATCTTAGTAGAGGAAACATTGGCAGTTGATTATTGCTGGGTGAGGAAGAGCTGATCTTCTAAACAAGAGACTGCAGATAGTCTGACTAGACCTCAGTGGATGGATTTGCACAGGGGAACGTTTGGGGACACTGACTTGACACATTGAACCTTAATATAGATGACAGTATATGGTTCCAGTGGGGGGCGGCTGTGGGAGCGTGCTGGTGGGGATGGGAGTATAAAGATGATTAAGATTCTTTGAGATATTCTGTATAAAATACACAAAAATTCAATGAAAACAAAATATCAGCGATGGCAGTCAGTGAAATAAAGAACATTATGAAGGCAAAAAGCAAAGTAGGGAAAGCATTCGTTTATGTATGCTTGTATATATGTATTTTTTTTCAAATTTATTTCTATTTTATGTGTATTCGTGTATAGCGTGCAGGTAGGTAAGTGCACCTGTGTCATGCAATGCTAGCAGAGGTGAGAAGAGGGTGTCAGATTCCCTGGGATTGGAGTTACAGACAGTTGTTGGCTGTCATGTGGGTGCTGGGATTCGAACCCAGGTCTTCTGCAAGAACAACCAGTGTTCTTAACCGCTGAGCCATCTCCCCAGCCCCATATATATGTATTTTTGAGACAGAGTCTCATTTAGCCCATGCTGGCCTTGAACTCCAGTGTCAGGGAGAATAACCTTGAACCTCTGATCCTCTTGCCTCCACCTCCCAAGAGTTGTGAATTTACAGGCACGTGCCACCACACCCAGCTACAAAGGAATTTCTGTTTAGTTTGGCCAGGGGCTCTTTATATAGCCCTGGCTGGCCTGACACTATGTGACTGGAATTCACAGCTATCCTGTCTCCAACTCGTTAGTGTGTGCTGGGATTACAGGTGTGACCACACCCAGCTCTGAAAGCACTCAGTGTCGGTAGCATTCCACGTACTGTTTTTTGTTTGATTTATTTTTATTTTTTATGTGTATGAGTGTAATCTCTGCATTTATGTAAATGCACCCATGTCGTGCAATGCCTGCAGAGGACAGAAGAGCATTTGCCGGTGGCTCGAGTGCCCTTTTCCACCCACCCTGGCCGCTGTGACGCGGTTTCCAAGGCAGAGGCCTGCGGAGAGCCCCAAGGTGCCCCAGGCCTCCTCCATGCTCCCTTCTGCTCTTCCAGGTCGGGTGGACACAAGATGCTCCACGGGGAGTGGAGGGGTCGGGGGTGGGGGTGTGGGGGGGATGGTTTCCTGGGCAGCCGGCCGCGGGCCTGCGGGGCCCGCCGGGTCGTCCTCCAGCCGCCGGGGGCGCTGTGGGCAGCACCGAGTCGGGTGCCGATGCGGTGGCGGCCGCCGCACGCCTGCAGGGAGCTGGTGACCTGGCCCAGCGAGTCCCAGCTCGACCGCGCCGCCGCCATGGGTAAGGGGAGCAGGCCCGGGGCACCTTCCGCCCCTGGGGCCCCTCAGCCTGCGAGGGGCGGGCGCAGCCGGGGACCGGGGAGGTCCCCCCGTCGGGGTCGCCATGGCAACGCGCACCCCTCTTGCATCCTTCCCGCCCCGCCCGGGTTCTGGGGCCTGGCGGTGGAGGGCTCCAGGGACAGGCCGGGTCGGGTGTCGCTCCGGGTTGAGGGCGTCTGCGGGGACCAGCGATGACTTTCCAGGCCTGGGGGTGGTGGAAGGAAGATGCGTCTCTGGTGTGGGGCCGGGTACCCGACGCGGAGGGCGAGAGAGGGGGAGCGGTGCGGTGCAAGACCCTGGGTGAGCGCTCCGCGGGATGGCGGGGCACTCTAGGCCTCCGGGCAGGCGAGGATGGGGGGCCGGGGAGGGAGCAACTACTACCGACCACAACCCCCCAGCACCCTCAGCTGTCGGGGAGCCCAGCTGGGGCGTGGTCGCGGAGCCAACGCCCCCACGATCCGAGCGACTGGGGCCAGCAACCACCGGCAGTCCTCGGATGGGGCTCAGATTACAGGTTGGGATGAGCACCTTAAAATGAGAATCGCTACAGATTATGAAACATCAAGTGGTTTCAACCCGACGGTGGGGAGTGGGGGGAGGGAGTCGCATCGCCATGCAGATTGGCAGAAATGATGTCGTATGGACCTTCCACCATCCACCCAGCTCATAGCAGCTGTGTATGCGTTTTAAATCGCCGAGGATTCCTCCTGAGGCTTGTAGAGAGCTGAAATCTGAACTATAATAGAATACTAGACCTTTGGGAGCTCTGGATTATTTTTCAATGATGGAAAATCGGACGCTTATTTTTTGAGACAGTGCAGTGTGTCTCAATAGACCAAGCTGGACTAATGAACATATTAACCACTTGGGTTTGCTATTTATTCAGAGATTATGAAATGCTAAGAGCTTCATTTTCCACATGGTAGATAAAAATCATCTTGTTTGCAGAAAATATTGCGGACAGTTGCCACAGTGTTGAGAGTGTGCAGAAGCATCTGATTTTGTTGTTGATTTGGTTTTTTGAGGCAGGCTCTCCCTTGTAGCTCCAACTGGCCTGGAGCTCATGTAGACCAGGCTGGCCTCAATGTCACAGAGGTCCATTTGCCTCTGCCTCCAGAATTCTGGGATTAAAGGTGTGGTAGACCAAACATCCTTGAATTTCTAAGGAAATAAAATTTGTGGGAAAGAGAATATATTTGGGGTGGGAATATAGCTCAGCATGGGCCTGCTGAGCCATGTCACCCGCCCAGAAAATCATTTTAAAGACTCATTCTCTGTGGAGAAGTCTCACAGAAGGTAAAACAAGTAAGCTGGGCATGGTGGTGCATGCGTTTAGTCCCAGCACTCGGGAGGCAGAGGCAGGTAGATCTCTGAGTTCAAGACAAGCCTGGTGTACATAGTGAGTTCCAGGCCAGCAGGGGCTACAGGGAAACCCTGTCTCAAAAAGACCAAAAAGAAAAAAAAAAAAAAGAAAAGAAAAAACAAGTACAAAACAATGACAGATTTGTAGGATCTTGAGGATAATCATACACTGACTGGAGTGGGTGTGGTAGTTTGCTGTGGCCTCTGAAAGCCATATGAGAAGTTGAGTAGGTGGGCGGGTAGGTTGGCCTGAGGAGACAGCTCCTTGCCCACTAAGGAAATGCAGGCTAGTGTTGACCTCTGTGGGAAGGGACAGACTCGTGTTTTTGTTGTTGTTGAGTCTTGGGAATGATGTCAGGCTGTTCTTGCACTTTTCAGCTACAAAAGACCCCACGGCTGTGGAGAGAGCAAACTTGCTAAACATGGCCAAACTGAGTATCAAAGGACTCATTGAATCTGCTCTGAGCTTTGGCCGTACCTTGGACTCCGACTATCCCCCTCTGCAGCAGTTCTTTGTGGTTATGGAGCACTGTCTGAAGCACGGGCTTAAAGGTATCATGAAGACACGTGGAAGTTAATTCACCTACGATCCCTCTCTTCATCTAAATATCCTTGAAAAATATCTTTGAGGCCATAATTACTGTAATTTTTGCATTTAAAAATATTGAATTGTGGGGTGGGGGCTGGAGAGATGGCCGTGTCTTAACCATGTCTTAACAGGTCCTACGCTCTTGAAGAGACCTGGGTTCAGTTACAGCTCACAACAGCCTGTAACTCAAGCTCTAGGGAGTCTGATACCCTCTCCTTGTCTTCTCAGGCACGTGTGCACACACATGTACACATGGCAAATACACACAGACATAAAAAAATCTATATATATGGGACTGGAGAGATGGCGTAGAGGTTAAGAGTCTTGGCTGCTCTTGCAGAGGATTGCCTGGGTTCAATTCTTAGCACCCACGTGGTAACTTAATAACCATCTGTAATTCCAGTTCCATGGGAATACAACCCTCTTCTGACCTCCATGGGCAATGCATGACATAGGTGCACTTACTTACATGCAAGTAATATACTCATACACATAAAAAATAAAATAATAGCTGGGTGTGCTGATGCATGCCTTTAATCCCAGCAGAGGCAGAGGCAGGCAGATCTCTGTGAGTTCAAGGCTAGCCAGGTCTACATAGTGAGTTCCAGGCCAGCTAGGGTTACAGGGAGGCCCTGGCTCAAAAAAAGACCAAAAAATAAATAAATTAGTAAGTAAAATAAAAATAAAATATCACACACACACACACACACACACACACACACACACACGCACATATAGTTTTGTTTTGTTTTAATGGGCTGACAAGATCTGAGTTTAATTCCTGGAACCCACACAAAGGTGGAGGGAGAGAACCGACCCCACGGAGTTGTCTTTTGACCTCCACATGCTGCACAGTGCTGTGTATACATATCATACACACAAAGTAATAAATAATATGTTGATTTTTAGGAGAAATATTACCATTTTGTGTTTTCTAATGGATGCGCTTCAAAAAATGCTTAGTTCTTAGTGTTTTGTGAAAAACTGATTATTTTTTTTCCAATATATACCCTTGAAGTTGTTTTCATTCTAGGATAATTACAGGTTTCTTTTTTTTATTATTATTATTTTTATTTATTTTTTTATTTTTCTTTTTTGTCTTTTTGAGACAGGGTCTCCCTGTAGCTCCAGCTGTCCTGGAACTCACTATGTAGACCAGGCTGGCCTTGAACTCACAGAGATCCTCCTGTCTCTGCCTCCTGAGTACTGGGATTAAAGACGTGCGCTACCATGCCTGGCATGCATTCTTTTTTTAAATTTTATTTTATTCTTTTATGTGTATGTGTGTATTGTCTGCATGCATGTAGGTACACTGGTATTGTGCAATGCCCTTGGAGGTCAGAGGAGGGCATCATATCCCCTAGAACTGGAGTTTCTGGCAGTTGTTAGCTGCCATGTGGGTGCTAGAAATTGAACCCAGGTCAGTGCTTTTAACTGCCAAGCCATCTCTCCAGCTCCAAATACAGGCTTCTTAAAAAAAAATTTTTTTAGGACTGTGCATGATGGTACATGACTTTATTTCCAGTACTTAGGAGGCAAAGAGGCAGGCTGATCTCTGAGTCTGAGGTTAGCCTAGTCTACATAGGTAATGCCAGGCCAGCTAGGGCTACAGGGAGACCTTGGTACCCAGGTCATTAGGCTTGGTGCCAAGTGCCTTACCCACTGAGCCATCTCAGTAGCCCCATTGTGTCCTGTTTCTTTGTGTCTTTCATTTTGTTTTATTTTGTTTTTTGACTTTTTGATACTTGGTCTCACGATGTTACCCATGGTGGCCTGAATCTCCTTTATAGACCAGCTGGCCTTGAACTCACAGAGATCAGTGTGCCTCTACCTCCCGAGTGCTGGAATTAAAGTCATGTGTCACCATGCCCAACTTTTTTTTTTTTAGGATTTATTTTAACTCATATGTATGAGTGTATATCTACATTAGTATATGCTAGATGTGTTTGGGTGCCCTCAGAGCTCGAGTTATAGGTCTGATGTGGGTATTGGCAACTGAACTCAGGTCCTCTGGAAGAGCAGCAAGTGCTCTTAACTGTTGAGCCATCTCTCCAGCCCTATATTTAATTTTTAAATATACAGTGGATAATGATCACTCTTTTACTTATAATAATTATTAGGTGGGCATGGTGACACATAACCTGCAATTCCAGCACTTGAGAGGTAGAGGCAGGAGGATCAGGCATTCAGGGTCATCTTTAATTACACAGCAAGTTTGAGGCTAGCCTGGGGTACCTAAGACCCCATCTTTAAAAAAATAGTTGACAATTTTGGCCTCTTATTCACAGTCAGTGTCTGTGTAGAGGGTTAGGCAAGAGCTATACACCAGCACTGGGGATGAGCTCAGTTGGGAGAGTGCAAAGCCTGGGTTTGATCCCCAGCACCACATAAACTGGGTATACTCCTGTAATCCCAGCACTTGGGAAGTGGAGGCAGAGGAGCAGAAGTTGAAAGCTGTCCTCCTCTCCCAGGGAAAGCCTTGCTCCTCTAATGCATGGTTCAGATTGTTCCTAGCTTTTTGCCTGTTGCCAGTACTCTTACCCACTGAGCTGTCTCTCCAGCCCCAACTTTTTTTGCCTATTGCAAACCGTGCTGTAGTGCTGTAAGAATATCTTTGGTTATGTATGTTTGCATATGTATTCTAGGATTTCTTCAGTAGTCTTAGAAGTCAAGGATATAGGGAGTTGAAGCCAGGTGTGGTAGCACATGCCTTTAATTCCAGGAGGCAGAGGCAGGTGGATGTCTCTGAGTTCAAGGTCAGCCTGGTCTACATAATGAGTTCCAGGTCAGCTGGTGCTACAGGGAGACCCTGTCTCAAAAAAAAAAAACAAAAACAAAAAAAGGAAACAAAAACAAAAAACTCAAAGCTATAGGCAGTTGAGGTTTATTTCTTCATTGGTTTATGAACAGTGGATAAGGACATTTGTTTTCCCACCCTTGATATCTGTCTCTAAGTACTTTTCTCTGTGTGTATTTGAGATGAGATATTGTGTTGCCTTGGCTGCTCTCAAGTTCTTAGAGTCAAGCAATCTTCCTGCCTCAGTTTCCTGAGTAACCAGGAACACTGATGCATGTCACTGAGCTCAGCTTGCAAATACTTGAAAAAGTTTTATTTTTATTTATGTGTATGTGTATATCTATATGCTCTGGGGGTGAGGTTGTGCCTGCCTAGACCAGAAGAGAGCATTAGATTCCTTGGAGCTGGAGTTAAAGGCAGTTGTGAACTGCCTGATGTGGTTCCTGGGAACCAAACTCTTGCTGTCTAGAAGAGCACGGAGCCCTCTTAACCACTGAGCCATCTCTCCAGTCCCCTAGATATTTTCATCAGGAAATTACCTGTCTGATCTTAGGCATTCTTGAATTGCCACAGCACAGGTGTGAAGTCAGAGGACAACCTGTAGGAGTCATTTCTCTCCTTCCACATGTAGGTCCTGGAGATGGAACTCAAGTCAACAGCCTTAGCAGCAAGTGCCTTCACCCACTGAGCATCTTGCTGGCCCCCTTGTACTTTTATTTTATTTTATTTTTGGTCTTTTGAGTCTCCTTGTAGCCCTAGCTGGCCTGGAACTTGCTTGTGGAGTTTATTAATGTGGCAACAGTATAATCACCTGAACAAATAGAAAATAGACTTACTCTTTTTTTTTTTTTTTTTGTCTTTTTTGAGACAGGGTCTCCTAGTAGCCCCAGCTGTCCTGGAACTCACTATGTAGACCAGGCTGGCCTCAAACTCACAAAGATCCGCCTGCCTCTCCTTCCCAAGTGCTGGGATTAAAGGAGTGCGTCACCACACCCAGCATAATAGACTTACTCTTAAGTTTTTAAGAGTGGGCCTGAACTCAGAGGACAGTAGTTTGCCTAGCTATAGAGAACTGTTTCCCAGAACGATACCAGTGGTCTCTCTTGTCCCCTCAACCTGTGCAGATGGAGCTGTCTGTCCTCTGTCCTGTCATCCAGTCCGTTCGTCTGCCTGTGTCCCCATCTGCCCGCATGTCCCCGTGTCCATGTCATCCTCTAGTAGTTCATCCCCCGCCCCCTCCTGCCATGGAATTGACTCTGGAACCCCTGTTAGGGGTTTCTTCAGCTTCATTGGGACCATACAAGTTTGTTTTAACAGACCATCTGCCCTTCCTAGTATCTCTTTCATTCAACCTCAGTCGTTCTTCCCAGTCTCCACTGTGAGTAACGGAGCTGGGTGTGCTGCCTTTCAGTGCTTTGGTAGGTTAAGTCTGGAGCATACCCCCATCCATTATCTTTTTGGGTAGAGTATCCAACTGAGGTTGCCAAGGAGATACTCTGGCATCAGACACAAGAGCCCAAGAGTGCAGGATTTTGCAGGGTTAATTAAAAGTCATTCGTCCAGGTTGTGTCCATTAATAAAAGTCATTCCCACACTTGATCTATAGACCGTGCTGGCCTCGATCTCACAGAAATCTGCCTGCCTCTATCTCCCAAGTGCTGGGACTAAAGGCCTGCGTCACCACACCCAGCTAATTTTTTTGTTTTGTTTTGTTTGTCTTTTTGAGACAGAGTCTCCCAAGTGCTGGGACTAAAGGCCTGCATTACCACACCCAGCTAATTTTTTTGTTTTGTTTTGTTTGTCTTTTTGAGACAGAGTAGCCCCAGCTGTAGCCCCAGCTGGCCTGGAACTTGCTATGTACACCAGGCTAGCCTTGAATTCATAGAGATCTGCCTGCCCAGGGCTGGAATTAAAGGCATGCGCCACCACACCGGGCTTGAGCAAGTGCTCTTACCCACTGAACTGTCTCCCCAGACCCAATGCTAAATATTTAAGATGATGTTACTCCCATTTCATGAGCTGAAATTGCACATTATTTTTTTTCCAGTGAGAAAATCATTTTTGAGTTATAACAAAACTATCTGGGGCCCTTTGGAACTAGTGGAGAAGCTGTACCCGGAAGCGGAGGAAATAGGAGCAAGCGTCCGGGATTTGCCTGGTCTTAAGTAAGTAATCTGATTCATAGTTCTTCCTTAGCCCAGAAGTGTGTTTACTGGAACATAATTATATGATAGTTATTATCCTTGATCAGCCTCAGTACTTTTCCCATTTTCTCCTAATAAACTCATTTCACTCTTTATGGCCCAGCTTATATTGTTTCCTTTGTGAGGTTTTTCTAGCCCCTTCAATAAGAATTAACCACTGATAGGACCGACAAGATTGCTCAGTGGGTAAAGGCGCTTGCTGCATAAGCCTGGTGACCTGAATTAATCCCTTGAGCCCATGTAAAGATGAAGGGGACAGCTGAGTCCACCAGGTTGTCCTCTGATGTTCACACATGTGCCCATATGCACACATTATGCACACACATATACACGAACTCGTGCACTGATAATAAAAAAAATGAACCACCGATACCTGGGTGCAGTGGTGTACTCCTGTAATCGCAGCACTTAGGAGGTGGAAGCAGGAAGATTGTGAATCTAGCTAGCACATAGTGGGTGGTGAGTAAGTCCTTGCAGACTGAATTTGGCTGAATCCATGGTAGAGGCTCAGGAGATTCTAGTTCCTTTTTTTTTAATTAATTAATTTATTTTATTTTATTTTATTTTTTTTTGAGACAGGGTCTCCCTGTAGCCCCAGCTGTCCTGGATCTCACTATGTAGACCAGGCTGGCCTTGAACTCACAGAGATCCACCTGCCTCTGCCTCCCAAGTTAGACCAGGATGGCCTTGAACTCACAGAGATGTGCCTACCTCTGCCTCCCAAGTGCTGGGATTAAAGGCGTGCGCCACCACGCCTGGCTTTTTTTTTTTTTTAATATTTTATTTATTATTTTTATTTTATGTGTATGCGTGTATTGCCTGCATGTGTGAAAGTGTACCCGTGTCGTGCAATGCCTGTGGAGGTCAGAAGAGGGCGTCAGATCCCCTAGAACTGGAGTTATGGACAGTTATTAGCTGCCATGTAGGTGCTGGGATCTAAACCCCGGTCTTCTGCAAGAACATTCAGTGTTCTTAACTGCTGAGCCATCTCTCCAGCCCCGAGATTCTAGTTCTTAGCAAGCTGTTCATATACCTTAGGACTTGTGCAACCTGATCTTCTTCTGAAAACTGGGGTGGCTAGTGACAGCTGCTCCTTCATCAGATAAACACGAAACTGCAAAACCACTAGTGTACTGCAGCTCAGAAACCTGAGTGTTGAAAGTTTCTTTTAAGGTATGAAGTATTAAGGCCAGGTTCTCCTATCCAAGTACTAACCAGGCCCAAACCTGCTTAGCTTCCAATTAGATGAGATTGGGTGCTTCAGGGTGATATGGCCATTGACAAGGCCAGGTTCTTTAGTCTTTTTGAGACAGGGTCTCCCTGTAGCCCTAGCTGGCCTGGAACTCACTATGTAGACCAGGCTGGCCTTGAACTCACAGAGATCCACCTGCTTCTGCCTCCCAAGTGCTGCCACCATGCCCAGCTAAGGCCAGATTCTTAAAGTTCTCCAGGGTAAGCCAAATGCACACATCCCTGTAGTTTGTTTTCTTTTGAAATTTTTATTTACGTTTTTCCCCCCAATATTTCTTTTTCTTTTCCTTCTATTTTTAGTCTTTTTTTTTTTAACTTTTTAAAAAATTTTATTAATTTTATTTTATGTGTATGTGTGTATTGCCTGCATGTATGTAAGTGCATCTGTGCCATGCAATGCCTGCGGAGGTCTGTAGAAGCTGTCGGATCCCCTGGAACTGGAGTTAGGACAGTTGTTAGCTGCCATGTGGGTGCTGGGATTCGAACCCAGGTCTTCTGCAAGAGCATCCAGTGTTCTTAACTGCTGAGCCATCTCTCCAGCCCCTTATTTATTATTTTTATTTTATGTGTATGAGTGTATTGCTTGCATGTAGGTAGGTGCACCTCGAACTCATAGAGATCCACATGCCTCTACCTCCTGCATGCTGAGATTAAAGACCTGTGCCGCCGTGCCTGGCTCCGCCAGCACTCTTAACCACTGAGCCATCTCTCCAGTCCCCATCTTTTTCTTTTTAAGACAGGGTCTCAACTATGTAGCTGGCTGTCCTGGAACTTGCTATGTAAACCAGGCTGGATTTAAACTCACAGAGATATGTCTGCCTCTGGCCTCCTAAGTGCCACCATGCCCAGATAGATATAATATTTATAGAAAGAATACTTTTGCAGAGAATTATTTCTTCCAAAGTGTAAAATTTTATTTAAATATCCTCTAAGAATAGATTTGCCTACCTTCCAGGGGTTAATTTGCTTGCCTAAAAAAGTAGTATGAAAACCTGAATTCTGATCCCCAGAACTTACATAAAAGCCAAGCACGGTGGCTCATGCCTGACCCCAGCATCGGGAGTCAGACAGGCAGATCCCAGAGATGTTCACTGGCCAGCCAGTCTAGATGAAATATTGAGCTTCAGTGAGAAACCACGTCTCAGAAAATAAGACAGAGAAGTGATAGTTAAGACATCTGACATGACCCCCCGACACACACACACTCCCTAGGGTAAATTTATAAAGATGAAAACAGAAGCATGATAAAATACATGTAGTCATTCACTACAGAGCATGTAGTCAGTGATTTTAGCACTAGGGCTGTTTTCTTTTGACTAAAGGTTTGCGCCACTATGCCCAGCTAGCACTAAGGCAGTTTTCTAACCAACCAGTGCTTCGTTGTAGAACCCCCCTTGGTCGAGCAAGAGCATGGCTTCGATTAGCCCTCATGCAAAAAAAAATGGCTGATTACCTGCGCTGCTTAATTATCCAGCGGGAACTCTTGAGGTCAGTATCGTGAAGTCATGTTCACTTTCACTTACATCTTGTCTTCCAAAAAGAGTGAGGAAAGATACATGAAGTACAATAAAATAGCACAAAATAAAAGGACTAGCAAAATCTGAAACAAGAAAACATGCTGGTGGCGGGGGGTGGGGGTGGGCATGTACAAGGCGGGGAACGTGTCACGTAAATGAAGAACTGGCCTAAAAGAGGAGTCTGCAGGCTTTTATCAGCCAGTATGGGAAATGCATGCAGTTTCCAAGCTGGCTTTGAATTATGGTTAATTCTGTGGACTCAGATTTGTGTTGGAATTTGAGGGCTTAATTGCACATTTCTTTGTAGAATCTTGAATGTTCAAATGAATGCTTCAGTTAGCCTGGGCACTGTCTGATTGAAGGTCAACTTTCAGGACCAGGCAATCAGTCTCCTGACCAGGTGGGCCCAGGACAGGCCCCTATCATCCTGGCTCTCTGAGAGTACCTCTCCCATAGTCTGAGAATGCTGTCCTGTGTTACTGTCTAGGGATCTTGATCAGATTCATTTCATCTGCCAATTAAAGAATTAAAGGGCAGGGAAGAAAAAATAAATCTCAGACACAACAGAAAGCAACAGATAACAAACTTTATTAAAAGTAAAGAAACAGGTGGGCTGGGGTGAGGGGGGGCGTTCTCCACAGTTTTTTTCAGAAACTGAAAAATCCTACTCCCCCAGGAGGACTTGGGGCTTTTAAATGTTCATGGTGGGCCCCTCTCCCCTAAGTTTGGATCCATCAACTTAAAGAAGAAAGAGCTGGTAGACTCAGCTCCAAGCTGAGATATGTCTAGATCTGGCCTTGGTCTTTTATCTGAACTGGTCAGGACTGGTCAGCTGGAAGGGATCTTGCCAGTGGGAGAAAAAGCCTGCCAGGTCTTTGCCTCAGACCGAGAAGGAGCTGGAAGGAGCCGTGTTTAATCTCAGCGGTGGTCCATTTCCTTACTATTTACCTACTGTGCTGGATGCTTCAGTTGTCAGCTTGACACACCTGGGCAGAGGAGCCTCAGTGGGTGAATTGCCTCCATTGAACTGACCCATGGCCATATCTGTGGGGCATCTTCTTGATTATTGAATGATGTGGGAGGGCCCAGCCAACCCTGAGCTGACTTCTGGGCAGGTTGTTCTGTATTGTATAAGAAAGCAGGCTGAAGCCGGGCTGGTGGTGCACACCTTTAGTCCCAGCACTCAGAGGCAGAGGCAGGCAGATCTCTGTGATTTCAAGGCCAGCCTGGTCTACATAGTGAGTTTCTGGCCAGCTGGGGTTACAAGGGGACCCTGTCTCAAAAAGACCAAAAAAACAAAAAAAAAAACCGCAGGCTGAGCAGCTGGGCCAGGGGAGCAAGCCAATAAGCAGCATTCCTCCATGTCCTGTGCTTCAGCTCCTGCCTCCAGGTTCCTGCCCTGAGTTCCTACCTTAAGCTCCCTCAGTGATGAACTGTGACCCGGGACATGTAACCCAAATAAACCGTTTCCTTCCCAAGTTGGTATTGATCAGATTGTTTTGTCACAGCAATGGAAAAGCAAACTAGAAGACCTGCCAGAAATGTGGCCAGTTTTTACTCCTTTATTGGGTTTTATCTGTGACTCTGGTTTCACATCTTGGTTTTTGCATTTGTTAAATGGAAATGACTGTACTTGAAGCCCTGTGATTGCTTAGTCATAGTCTAAGGATGGTTGACGTTGTAGGTAATACACATGTGACTTTTTTCTTTCACAAGTCTCAGTATGTGTTCCCCCCAAATTTCCTCTCTGAGCAGGGTCTCATGTAGTTCAGGCTAGCCTTGTATTTGCTGTGTAGCCAAGAATGACCTTGAGTTCCTAATCCTCCTGCCTCCATTTTTCAAGGGCTGGGATTATAGGCATGCGTTGCAAAGCCTCGTACAAGTCTCTTGCCTGAACACTTTTTAGACTGAAGTTATCCCTGTGGCCTTAATTGATGATTATTTATCTGTCAGACCATTTACAATGTACCTATCAAATATACTGACTAGAGTATGGGCTTTGAAAGGTTTGGCGGCTCTTTCCCACCTTCATCTTTAGTCCAAAGGTCTTAATGAATCCTGGGACTGAAGATTCATCTCTAAAATAAAACATAATCAGGTCAGCTGTATTCGTCTGAGAGTCAAACATTTTAGGTTTTAGGATTGCCTTTTTAATTCTCCCCCCTCCCTCCCCCCCACCTGTGTGCCCAGGCTGGCCTGGAACTCACTGTGTGATTCAGGCTGCCCTTGAGCTCATGGCCAACCTCCTATTTCAGCCTCTTTGAGTGCTGGGCTCATAGGCATGGGCCGCCATCACACAGCCTTGTCCTTTTTCTTTAGAGCTCTCTTTAAGAATTTCCTTTTCTTTTGTCCCCTTCAGTCCTTTAATTTTTGTTACATTTAAAATTTGAGCCCTTGTAAAAAAGCCCATTTCAGGCTGGGCATGTATCTGACACGTCTTTAGTCCCAGCACTCCAGAGGCAGAGGCAGGTGGATCTCCTTTGAATTCAAGGCCAGTCTGGTCAATATAGTGAATTCTAGGTCAGCCAGGCCTCTAGAGCGTGACCCTGTCTCAAAAAGGCTAAATTCCTAATTTCCAGGAACTTAGCTTAGATGTTTCTGTGTCTGTTAGATGGACATTAGAGATGGCTTCTGAATTCAGTTTAGAGTGGAATGTGTGAAGGAAGGTTTCTGCTTTTCTGCTGTCACAGTGAGTTCTATGAATACCACGCACTGATGATGGAGGAAGAAGGAGCTGTCATCGTCGGGCTGCTGGTCGGCCTCAATGTGATAGATGCCAATCTGTGTGTAAAGGGCGAGGATTTGGACTCCCAGGTAAGTGAAAGTGGATCATACAATTGTAGTGTTTTCCCTCTGCACACGTCTTCCTGGATCCCCATATCACTCTGTTTTACACAGTGCTGCTAAATTCTTAAATAGTCGAATGCAGTTCAGTGGCATGATGTTTCAGCAAATACCTGATAGAAATAACTTGAAGATTAATTTTGGCTCATATTTTTCAAGGTTTCATTCATGATTGGCCTGCATTGCTATGGGCGTGTGGTGAGGGGGATCATAGCAGCAGGAGGATGTGGCAGAAGAAATTGGCCTCCTTTTGGGGGCCAGGAAGCAGAGGCAGTAACAGGAAGGGTCCTGGGCCAAGGGTACCCATCCAAGGCATGTCTCCAGCCACCCATTTCCTCCAGCTCAGCTCCACCACCTTCCACACACACCCATCTCCCTGTGGTTAAATCTGATCAGTGGATTAAGCCATCCCTTAGTCTGAACTCTCAGGATTTAAACATCTCTGGAAACCCTCACAGACACATCCAGTGTCGTGCTTTCCTAACCTGGGCATCTCTCACACCGATGAAATTGATAACCTGGCACTTCTCAAAAAGTTTAATTTCTTCTCCTTAAATAAAAATCACTGTATTAACTTCAGGTTGGAGTGATTGATTTTTCGATGTATTTAAAGAACGAAGAGGACATTGGAAATAAAGAAAGGTAAGGTTTTCCTCAGTTCCACACATTGTAGTTTTTTATGTGCTTAAGATGCATATATTGACTGTTTGGTTTGGGCCTCTCCCTGCTGTGGAGGCCTTTGTTTCATTTTCCCTTCCAGTAAAAGTTCTACAAAGGCTGGGTGTGGTAGACTTGCCTTTAACTTCAGCACCACAGGGTTTTCTCTGAGTTCAAGGCCAGCCAAGGCTACACAGTGAGACCTTGTCTCAAAAAAAGAAAGAGAAAAGAAAATAAGCAAATAGGGAAAATCTCTTAGGTAACTTTGGTGCACAGTAGGACTGTGGTCATATCCATCCTTCCTGAGACCCTTATTACTTTAATACCTATATTTTGTAACAGTGGTGGCTTATTTTGAGATCTAATTGAGCTTAAACTTAAAATATATTAATGGTACATCAGCAAGTAATTTAGCAAAGACTATAGTACTTAGCACACAGTTCACTTTGTTAGGATTACAAAGATTGTTTATTTGAAAGGCCAAGCAATGTTTTATTGGGGGCTAGAGAGATGGCTCGTGGCTAAGAGCACTGGCTGCGCTTGCAGAGGACCCGGGTTCAGTTCCCAGCACCCACATGGAGATCCGACACCTTCTGACCTGGCACACTTACACACCTTCAGGCAATACACTCATACACATAAAATAAAAATAATAAATAAAATTTTTTAAAAAAGAAAGACCACCGGGCGTGGTGGCACACGCCTTTAGTCCCAGCACTTGGGAGGCAGAGGCAGGCAGATCTTTGTTCGTTCAAGGCAAGCCTGGTCTACATAGTGAGTTCAGGTCAGCTGGGGCTACAGGGAGACCCTGTCTCAAAAAGACAAAAAAGAAAAAGAAAAAAAGAAAAAAAAAGACCAAGCAGTGTTTTAGCACTATGATTTTATTTTTATTTTATTTTATTTTTTGTCTTTTTGAGATAGGGTCTCCTCTGTAGCCCCAGCTGGCCTAGAACTCACTGTGTAGACCAGGCTGGCCTTGAACTCACAAAGATCCACTTGCCTCTGCCTTCCAAGTGCTAGGATTAAAGGTGTGTGCCACCACACCCAGCTTATGATTTTTTTTTTATCACTATGATTTTACAGCAATTTTCAGGTGATTTACATATATTTTTAAACTATCTGTTCCCTCTTCCCCACCCCCATCCCAGGAATGTTCAAATTGCTGCCATCTTAGACCAAAAGAATTATGTTGAAGAACTAAACAGACAACTCAAGTAAGTATTATGGTCGCTTAACTATATTTAGGGATCTCGTTTTAGGGTCTTATTTTGTTTTTGGCTTAATGCTATTCCTTTGTTCTATACATCTTTGACTGTGTTTTGTTTTTTCCTTTGCTTTCTAAGCATTTTTAGGGGAGTTTGAAGGGCTAGACATAGACAGAAATTAACAATACATAGAGCCAGATATAGTGATACATGTCTGTTATCAAAGCACTTGGGTAGAGGTAGGAGAATCAGGAGTTCAAAGTCATCTTCCAGTAGTGGCTAGTTTGAGGCTAGCCTAGGCTAAATAAGACCCTGTCTTAAAAAACCAAAAACAAAAGCCAGGCATGGTGGTGCACGCCTGTAGTCCCAGTACTTGGGAGGTAGAGGCAGGTGGATCTCTGTGAGTTCAAGGTCTACATAGTGAGTTCCAGGACAGCTGGGGCTACAGGGAGACCCTGCTTCAAAAAGACAAAAAGAAAACAACAAACAAAAAACAAGGGTGGGCTGTGGTAGTGCAAACCCTTAGACCCAACACTCAGGAGGTGGAGGCAAGTGGATTTCTGGAGATTTGAGATCAAGGCCAGACTGGTTTACATAGCGAGTTCCAGGCCAGCTGGGTCTAGAGAGAGACCATGTCTCAAAAAAAAGCAAAAACAGCTGGTTGTGGTGGTACACACTGGTAGGATATGCTGAAGAGGCAGAAGCAGGAGGATCACAAGTTCGAGGCCAGCCTGGACTACACGTTTGGGGGCTGGAGAGATGGCTCAGCGGTTAAGAACACTGACTGTTCTTGCAGAAGACCCAGGTTTGAATCCCAGCATCCACATGGCAGCTAACAAATGTCCGTAACTCCAGTTCCAGGGGATCCAACAGCCTTTTCTGTCCTCGCGGGCATTACATGACAGGGGTGCACTTACCTACATGCAGGCAATACACGCATACACATAAAGATAAAATAAAATATTAAAAAATCAAAAAAACCCAAGGGCTGCAAGTATGTCTAGCTTGCACAAGACCCTGGGCTCAGTCAATCGCCAGCACTTAAAAGGTATCAAGTGGCATTTAAATAGAAATATTTATTCTTTTGCTGTGGTGGTTATTGCTGTCCTGGCTCAAATTAAGTTAGCCAAGTTAATGAACTTGCCCACATCCAAAAACTTATTCAGGTCATTGGCACATGTCAGTCAGTATAACGAGTTCAGGGAAATGTACTTTTCTTCCTTTGTGAGCCTGCGTGATTGTGAATGAAGTTTTTCTTTGCCAATTTCAGTAGCACGGTCAGCAGCCTCCATTCAAGAGTCGACTCATTAGAAAAGTCAAATACCAAGTTGATCGAAGAGGTATTGTCACCTGACAATGGATAATTGTCTTTTGTGGACCTACTGTTTGTGAAACTTTTCTGTTTTAAGTATGAATGCATTGAGCATCTGGCCCCCAAAACATCAACA